TCTTGGCACGCACGACCGCAGGCATCTTCCCGGCAGAGCCGAGGCCACCTGCCTCTTCCCGGCCGGTCCCCAGGACTTCCTACACGGGAAAGGGGGCCACGATGCTCCTGCTTCACCTCCTCTCTCTCAGGCTGGAAAGGAGTAAATTATCTGTCCCCTCGCCCTGGGCTGAGGTCCTTTGGTCAACGCAGGGTCAGCGCATCCATCTTCCAGCTGCTCAGGCAGAGAGGGAGGGCGCGGGGTGAAAGCCGGCTGGTTATAACTGTATGGAAATGGAAAAATAATAATAAATACTAAAAAAATTCCAGCAGACTTTGGAGAGCTTTCGAAGAAGGAAGGGTGCCAGCAGAGACCTGTGAGCCTGGGCCAGGCTGCAGGCAAAAAAATGGGCCTGTATCCTCTGAGCTCTTCCCCTCCCAAATTTCCCCCGTCAATAAATCTCACCTTCTTGCCCTCTTGGGCTCCAGCTGCTGATTTATGATTGCTATAATGAAAGACGCTGAACAGAAATGAACTGTGTGGCTCCAAGTGATTTACAGAGACATCTTTATCCCTCTCCCACCCCTCTCCTTTAATTTAGTGGCGGGAGCGAGTTTTTTACACCTTGGGAGCCACAAGGATTTCATCGTGTTTCCCAAAGGAGTTCAAGGCTTTCCCTCTCGCTTTAATAAAAAAAACCCAAAAAATAGCCTTTGTTTCTCTCCGACCCGCCGTGGCGAGCCAGGCTGCGCCGCGCCGAGGCAAGATCGAAAGCATTAATAAACACCAGCCCAATTTAATGAAAGGCAAAAGATTTTGAACAGAAATCTCTGAGCTGATGAAAGCGGAGCCTGGCCGATGAGGATTTATTAAACGAATGGCTGCCAGGGTCTGGGGAAAGATGATTTGTTAAATTAGAAATAAATATACTTGGTAACTGTGGGAGAACTAAGTGCGCCCGTTAAAGCTCTGAGATGGGGAAGGTTTAAAGGTGCGCTAAACCTGATGGCCAGGATTTTAACGCCACGTCGTTCTTTTTGCAGTGACGGAGACGTCACCGGGGTCTGGAAAGACCACAGTAAGCATTTCATTTCTTGCTATTTTATTTTTTATAACCCAGGTCCCATGTGGGAAGCTGGACGACTCAGCTCCGAGTTAATGGTTCAGCATTGGTGCCAGGAGGCTTCATTCCCTGTTTTGACCTCTCCTCTCCACGGCAAGCGGCGCTCTGTGCTGCCCGGATGGGATTCCCAGAAACTGGGAGCCTAAACCAACTGTGGAGTCTTGCTCAGGGACCTCAAATCCTGATGGTTTCCTCCGTACCAAATGCTTCAGGCTCAAACTGCTGCCCTGAGCCAGGTCCCCAAACCCCTGTGGGTGCTGCCGGGGACCGCGGTTGCCCAACTCACGCACCTGGGTGCAATTAGAGACCACGTGCAGCACATTAAGGGATATAATTTATTGTAAGTGCAATTAAAAAGGAGCCTCCCCCCGGCCGCCCTTTGCTTCTCTTGCCTTCCTACACCTCCCACGTCCCCCCAGGATCTTGGTTCAATGCCCCTTTAGTAGGAGCCACAGCTGACAGGGCTTGCCGAGGCGGGCGGTCCTGGCTTAGTGCTGCAGAGAGAATCACAGAACCAGCAAATCGTTTAGGTCAGAAAAGACCCTTAAGATCATCGAGGCCAACCGTTAACCCAGCACTGCCAAGTCCATCTATACCATGTCCTCGAGCACCACGTCTATCCGTTCTTTAAATCCCTC